AATGGGGCTTGTTTTCTGTCAGAAAAGTAAGGTTGTTTTGGGATTCTATTTTGAGCATTTAATTCTTTTCATGGTCACTTTTTCTAGCTTGCTACTTCATTACGAGTATTCTGTTTATGATTGTGCCTTATCTGGATAAATTTTTCTTCTCCATTTGGATTAAATTTCAAATTTTTTGGTTTGCTTCCGTCCAAAAGCATGTATTTTTCATTTTTGGAAAGCTGGGAGAGGGTTTCTTGTGGTGTCGTTGATTTTATAATAAGCAGTTTGCAGGGTATATGTTTTGCCTTCGAAATTTTTCAACATTCCCATCCAGGTTCAGTATTTCATGGATTTTCAAGCCTCGACGCCTGGCAAGCTCAAAGGCAGCGGACACTGCCGATGCGACAGCACTCAGTGCACTCGAAGATGTTGAAGTTGTAAATGAAGACGAAGAAATTTCGGATATGGCACTTAGTACAGTAGGCAAAGAACGACCGATTCTACCATATAGTCAAAAAGCGCTTGAAACTTTAAAGTAAGTTTTAGGACATTTGGTTGTTTGTCAATTTTCTAATTTCTTATTGTCATTTTTATGCGTTTTTTTTGCATCTATGCAATGCAGAAAATACATATTGACGTGGGGTTATCTGTGTGTATGCCTGTACTGATTTTTCATCTCAAGATCTATAAAAGCTGCAGGGCTAAAAATTTGGGAACTTAATCTGCGTGCGCGTTTGGTCCTCAGTCCCCAAAATGGGCGCTCTTACTCGCGTGGTACCTACATATGGACTCGCTAAAATTTTTAGCACGCAGGCTGCTAACTCGGGAATCAGAAAAGCTAGAAAGCCGAAATTTTAAGGAGATGTTCCCCATCCATGTAGGTCTTAATGAATTCAAATCCAGTCCTCGAGTATACGTGGTTCCCACTACGGGCCCGTGGAAGTTTTTTGTGGGTAAGTTACTAACTCGGAAAACTAGGAAGGCTGGAAAGCTGAAATTTTAAAGGGATGCTTCCTGACAACAGTCTCAGTTCTTTTAGCTCTAAGCACATACTGGAAAAAACAGTGCCGTTAGCGACAACAACCCGAGGGGAACTATGCAGGAAACTCATCTTCGCACTAGCATTCGGAGAACTGGCCATTTATTGTGTCTGATGCATAGCTGCATCACTGTTGACTAGTTGGGCCAATCCAGGTTTAGCTGGACAAAGTGCTGACGACTCAATTTTCTGCATAAATTAGTAAATTTGCTGTCTGTTTCGGGTATTTTATCAGGGTTAATTATTTGGGACGTCAACTCTATTTAGCATTTCTTTTTTCCGGATGCGAACGAGAATCCCCATATTTTCAAAATACAAGGCCTGAAAAAATTTTTAAAGCTTGTGGTTGCCAGGAAGTTGCAGTAGTTCTGAACTGAGTGTAGAAGCTGCGGGGGCCAGGGATGGAAGGGGCCAGGGGTAAAGCTGAAAGAGCAGCCGAGAGGGAGAAAGGGGTACGGGTGCAGCAGGGCGGGGTGCTACAGCTGAGGGGAAGGTGGGGATGGGATGCAGCCTATGAGACGGGACAGAGCAGGGTCTAGCGCGAGCTGAAGGGTGGTGCAGGAGCGCTATAGCTCGGAAGGATGGAGCGACCTATATAAGTAACTAGCATCTCTGGAGTGTGTAAATGAGACGCTCTACCAAGTCCAGGTTGGGGCATAATACCTGTAATCTGATGTTTTCGTCTTTCAAAACAGTATGTGTTTTGAAGTACTCGAAATGGACGTGAGACAAAAAAAATATCCGAATTTGGAAGTGAGTTTTTTTTATAGGTTGGATAAATATCCATATTATGTGGAGCGCGAATGGTGGAAAGATGGTAATCGTATGACATTTTGGTCGACGTGGCGAATGAAGCGAGACGTAAAGAGGCGGCAGCTGCTCGCCGAATTAGGTCCAGATCGTGTACGATTGAAGGCCCTAAAATCCAACATTCTGTTGCCGAAACTGATTACGGATGAATGCGCTGAGAAGTTGCATAATTTTCCAAAGGGTTCATGTCCATGTCTTGTACAGCATTTGTGTCAATTCAGTGGCGCACGACGAGGAAAACTCAATCGATTTCATCTTCATCGGCAGATTTTCAGGTTGGCGAATTTCATGCCTTTATTCTTTGATCTTTTGATTCATTCCTTGCGCTAATTGCATAGATTCGCGCTGTGAGTACTTAATAAATGGAAGGAAATGGAAAAATTCGGGTTTAATATTTCATGTGAAATAAACTAATGCGCATGGGCGAGGGGAGGGGGGGAGGGAAAAAAATTGGAAGATAGTATGTAGGAACATGTGTTATAAACAATGTGGCATGTTGATAGCGCATACTCTGAGAATATATAGGGATATTTGTCTGTGTTTCATCCCCTAGCTGTAAACACAGACAACTAAAGGTGTGATTAGGGGTGGAAATCATCAGTACAAATACTTAAATTTGCTGTGAGTAATTTTTTTGGCTGGGTTTTTTTGTCTACTTTTGATTCTCTGCAATCTGTGCCAATTGTTTAAAAGTACATCAAATTTCACGCTTTTTTCCCCCTCCTCCACTGTCTTTCTTTGTATTCCAATTATCAGCGAAAAATTTGTCGTCCTACACGATTCATACTTTCTGCTATGCTAGCGATGAATCCTGCATTCTTATGAAAGAGTATTTGTTCGTCTTGTTGGTTTTTATCAGCGTCTCGCAAAAATCAGCCAGCGATAATTTGCTGTTTTGCAGGCGGCTTGCTGACCATGGCCAGTTGTGTGGTATACAGCGTGGAAAGTGGTGATACTCTCGAATGCTGTAGATTGTTTTTGTTTTAAATTTGTTCAAATAAAAAATTTTTGCTCATTTTTTTGTATTACTTGCTTGGTCGGGCATCCAGCCACTACAGCTGCCTGATATTATCTTTTTGCTTGTACGATATGTCCTTTTTTATGCGTTTTTTGCAGCTATGCAATGCAAAAACCCATATTGACGAGGGGTTGTCTGTGTGTCCGTGTGTATGTGCGTCTTTGTATCTGTGTGCGTCTGTCACGCAGTTTCATCTCAAGATCTGTAAAAGCTGCAGGGCTGAAATTTCGGGAACTTAATCTATATACACGTGCCAGCCCAGACTTCCGAAATTGGTTTCATCACCCGCGCGGGCCCGCCAAAGTTTTTTTGGGGTAAGCTCATAACTCGGAGATCTGAGAAGCTAGAATGCTGAAATCTTAGGGGATGCTCCTCGTCCAACTGAATGGTAACTCAGGAGCCAGGAAAGCTAGGAAGCTGAAATTTTAAGAGGCTGTTTCCTGCCAGTTCTAGCGACTAGTCTTAATTATTCAGCTAGAAGCATTTGCCGAAAAAGCCGTTGCCGGTAGCGGCAAACTGCGGGAAACTATGCTAAAAACGCATCTTCGTACGGGCAGCTCGTGCGTTGGCCAATTATCTTGCTTTGTATGTCGTCCTATAGCCGAATAGGCGGTGGGGCACCATAAAAAGCCAAAAATGGTGTAACACAAGATTTAAAGACGTGGCGTAATTGCGCATTTGTTTGGGAGAACCCCAATAAGATCACTTTTTTTTATGAGATTTCATGCTGAACAAACAGTTTTGATATTCTTGGTATATCTTTTTTTTTCAAAAATACAGAAGCGGAACTTTTGCTTTTTTATTCTGCGCTAGAGCATGTTATATATTTATTTGAATTATACTGTTTTAACATTGTTTCGATTGATTTCTTATTTTCTGCATTTTTTACTGCTTTCAGTTACTGGGGTAACCGAATATGGATCGGTGGAGAGAAGCGTTTGCCTCAATGATAATCGTATTTTTGATTTTACGAGGTATG